TCAGGCTGAGGCCTCATGAAATATAAAACTTGAAGAACGGAAACTTATGATCAATAAAAATCAAATGTGAAAATATCCGATAACAGTGATACTAGATATAATACAAGGTATAATAATTTGCAATTTACGTTTTATTTTTCAGAGTCTATGCAGAAAACTATAATCGTTATTGATTTGTAAACTGTTTGGATCCAATAAACTTGTTTTTAATTTACAAATAACTAAACTGATTATTTGTGTTTTTCGTTGTACCATATTATTTGAGCTTAAAAGAAGTAATTGAGAACAAATTAATAGAAAATTCAGGAAAGAACGAATTAACATGAAACATTTCTCAATTTCTACTTGAACGTAGTCTTTTTATTTGACTAGGCTCAAGCTTTTTATACCGTTTTCCTATATTGATTTTAGAAGCTATTGTCGTTGGAACCCCATATAAATAATGTATGTGTTGGAATCGAAAATCACGACCTTTTATTGCTGATACGACATCTATGAATAGGTACGTATGTAGAAATTTATCATCAATCTAAATTGTTTCGTACGTTGCATTTTATTGCACCAGTCACATAACGTTGGTATTCCAGAGTATATCGTGTGTGATCTAATTAACGGAACTGAAATCATAACTGAATAAGTGATCTTTTTTATATTTCAATAAATGTTCAATGGCAACTTTGAGTTCGTCAGAACAATAGGTACTCAAAATACCTCGTACGTTTTTATGAGACATGAACTTCATCGTTGATTGCAATAAGTATCTATGTGTTTATAACAAATCAATACAACACTACGCAAAAAGGTTCTCAAGCTAACCGAAGCGTAACTGTTTTTATAATTTTACATTCCCCTTAATTTCCAATTTTTATTACCGCTAGGTATATCTACTTCATATAATACCTACTGAGTTCCACCACCTTATATAAACAAAGTTGAGGTGTCTGTTTGCCATATCCAGCTTAGAGCCCGGTTAGCTCACCTACTCGTTCGGTAAATCTAGTATGACCCCTCGAGGTCAGTAGAATAGGCAGGTAAAAAAATTGCCATTTAAAAAAACGCACTTTTAACAGCCAGGCTAGACAGAAACCAAAACATGCTTTTTCCGAATTTTACCAGGTATATATTTCTATAATAAAATTAGGAATTTAGTTTCCAAGATATTTATGATATTATTTATAAAGCCATTATTTGTATTCTTACACGGTACTAATGACAAGATTAAAACACAGGATAATTTCTAAATTTGTAATTGCTTTAGTTTAAGTAATCACGACAATTGTGATGAGTCTTAGAACGACTCTAAATTTTTTTTAAACTACATTTAAAAAACCAGACACTAAAATAAAATAAAATATCCTCAAAGCATTCTGCGTGAAATACACAGCTAAACATAAAAAGAGCACTAAAGTCTGCGTAGGCCCAGAAGTTCCCAACTATAGGTGAGATCAAAAGTAAAATAGAATCTAGAGCACGTGGATTACAGCTGTATCATCTGCTTTCAGGTGGAAAATAATTGGAGTACCTAAGTTGTTAGTTAGCACTATGAAAATTAAAATTCGTGATTAAAATTGACCCCTACATTCTCGTATAAACAAAAATGATTAGTTCTAGCATTTTATGACGACGCTTCGTGCCTATCTCTCAAATTTTAAGCATGAATGGTCAATCTCATCTCTTGACTTCCTAACTTAGTGGGAACATTATTACCATAATATCGTTCGTTGGAGTTAATTCCTCATTCATCAGGACTTCGACTGTTACTATTCAATTAAGGATTCGAAATTCAATTATAAGTTTAGAGAGTCAAAGCTGAGAAGTGAAGGTATGCGCTTCGAAGGCGGCGTCTAAATTAATTCTTACTTTGAGATATGATCATCCGGTAGCCCCTTTAAACAATTGAGATTTTTCAGTTCTTGTTACAGTCATAGATGATTGTCAGCATTATTTTTGGTTCGTTTGAAAACAATTTCTTGTAAACTTACATACTCATTAATTTTCTATACGCAAGGTACCTACTAGGTATAAATACATAAACTTATGTTCATAAAATATAGCTAGTGGGTATGCGATAAAAAGCTAGTTCTAGTTCTACATTACTTCCATATCATACGATATGGAATATACCTTTCATATCTTCATTAGTAGGAAGTATCGTGATCTTATTTTCTTAAGTTCTACTTACTGGTGGTAGGACCTCTTGTGAGTCCGCACGGGTAGGTACCACCGCCCCGCCTATTTCTGCCGTGAAGCAATAATGCGTTTCGGTTTGAAGGGTGGGGCAGCCGATGTGACTATACTGAGACCTTAGAACTATATCTCAAGGTGTGTGGCGCATTTACGTTGTAGATGTCTATGGGCTCCAGTAACCACTTAACACCAGGTGGGCTGTGAGCTTGTCCACACATCTAAGCAATAAAAAAAAAAAAAATTAGCTTCTTTTACTCAAGCACCTATTAAAACTATCTATTAGATTTGAAAAACAGATATGTACATTAACAATATATACAAGTATTTGTGGTCACAAGAGACTAATTTGTCGCCAGTTAAATTATGTGCTAACTATTAAAATTTTCACTAAAAAATTTTTTTGCAATAAAACTTACTTTGCACACAGATATATTAAACAGTATGCAGGCTTATTTTTTTATGGAAGCTCTTCTCTCGGAGGCATTTACAGTTTCACCAGGAGAGGTGGGTGGACTTAAGGGCTCAGTCAGGAGGGGAAATTTTGCTAACAACTGCCCAGGCGCCCCCAGAGGTGGCTTCGCGAAAGCTTCTACCGCTGGATTGGAATCGCGACCTACTCAGCCGTCTAACCGAACACCACACTCATAAATCGTTATAGTCCGCATGCAAGTTTTGTATACTATTACTTTATTACGAAGGGCCTTTTGCTCCGCTTGCTTAACATGGGGTGCAGTCTGCCGAGGATCAACGCGGGGAAGTCACGGACAGACTATGTGGGGCGGGATTTCCCATATCCCCCATCCGGAGAAGCATCCATTAATTCATTATTTATATCTAAGAGCATTCTCGTGCTCATTCTGCGGAATTAACCTGTTTTGTATAACAAGCGTTTGGACTATTTCAAATCTAATAAAACAGTTTTCAACGCGGTGCAGTGCATGTTGACTGAATGGATACTTGTGTAAACTTTTTGAATTCGTCGTGGTCTAAAGGATAAGAAGTCCGGTGCATTCGTGTTGAGCGATGCACCAGTATTCGAATCTCAGGCGAGTGCCAATTTTTCTAATGAAATATGTACTCAATAAATGTTCACGTTTGACTTCCACAGTGAAGGAATAACATCGTGTAATAAAAATCAAACCCGCAAAATTACAATTTGTGTAATTACTGGTGATAGGACCTCTTGTGAGTCCGCGCGGATAGGTACCACCGCCCTGCCTATCTCTGCCGTGAAGCAGTAATGCGTTTTGGTTTGAAGGGCGGGGCGGTCGTTGTAACTATACTGAGACCTTGGAACTTATATCTCAAGGTGGGTGGCGCATTTACGTTGTAGATGTCTATGGGCTCCGGTAACCACTTAACACCAGGTGGGCTGTGAGATCGTCCACCCTTCAAAGCAATAAAAAAAAAACTTATGAAGCCGTTAGTATCAAGCAATTCAAAGGTGTTCGAATCCCCCAGGCATGTACCAGGTACCAATTTTTCTAACGAATACGTATTTTAAAAATGTACACGATTAGCTTCCACGGTGGAGGAATAACATCGTGTAAAAATCAAACCCGAAAAATTACAATTTGCATAATTACTGGTGGAAGGACGTCTTGTGAGTCCGTACGAGTAGAGGTAGGCACTATTTCTGCAGTGGAGCAGTAATACGTTTCCGTATGAAGGGTGGAGCAGCCGTTGTACTGTAAAAACGGGGACCTTAGAACTCATTTCTCAAAGTGGGTGGCAACATTTACGTTGTAGGTGTCTATTGGCTCTGATAACTGTTTCACACGTTATCGACGTCCACAAACCTAGTAATAAAAAAATCGAAACTTGAGAGGTATAAAGGCACACCCGGATCGAACGAAGTTCCTTTCGATTAATTAGTGAAGGAATTGTGATAAAAAAAAAATTTTTAAAGTAATAATAGGATTTTTATGTACAAAAAACTTGTATACATTCAACAAAAATAATCTTCGCGTCACCACACTGTTCAGTGCGAAATACAAAGAAGAAACGAAAAACGAAAATAACTGGCTTGCTTTCTATGACAGACAGAGAGAGAGACAGACAGAGAAACACGCGCACGCCGCACGGCTTACAACTATAGCAAAAAGTTTCGTTACAACTTTTGGTCTTAATTTTTTCCTTAATTTTTTTAAAAAGTTTTTTTAACATTCGCGAATTGCTTATTAACTGTATCTCTTTGTTCTATCTTATGTATGAGACTCTAGTCACAGTCACACACAGAGTCACAGTCCAGTTTATAGGTAACATGCCTTTAAATGCTTAGTCTGGCCATAAATACTGTTACAAGTAAAAATAAACAAAATATTACATTTGAATTTGGAATCTGTCATTGATAAATGATTGCTCAGTTGCTGAGTTTTCTCATTTTGGCGCCAATACATTGTACAATATTTTGCGATATTATAATGGAGTGGGATTTTAAAGAGAACCGAATCGCTGTGATTGCATTACACAAAGTAGATATGGAGCCAAATGCAATTTTTAAAACTCTCCATACCTTACTTACAACTGGTCCATTGCAGTTACAAGAAATCTCCAATACTTTGCTAAGACCTTATTTCATTTTCTTCTTCCATCTTCTTTGCTCAAACACGCCACATCAATTTCATTTCGATCCATTTCACTATTCACAACAGCAGACTACTTCCAGTTGCACTTTAGGGTTAACGAAAAGCTTGGCTGTATGGTATAATACTTTCGTCTACTAGATTAGAAAAACTTAACTATACTGTCAAATTTCAATTTGTCACTTATGAAAACTTCAAAACATATTGAATGGAACTATTTAATATTGAATTGTGTGGTACTAAAATTATTTAAATTTTATAATTCATCTATCAATATTTTCTAACCAAGTGGTTGATAAACATTCTTACAAATGGACTAGCCCATATACTTCTATTTTTTTAATATAAAAACAAGTAAACTGTCTACAAATCTTCCATGAAACAGCATGACATCTGTTTGTTTTGATTTTAATACTTTATTGTACTAATTAATTTTAATACATATCTGCAAAAACATTGCATGAAATAATGGAAAGTCGAGAGTGGAGAAATAGCATTATCAGCAAGTTGCAAACAAGGAATAAATATGAAACAGCAGCATTTCAAGATATAATCAGTTTTCGTAAGTTACCTAACCTATTGCGAACTAGTGATCCTTTGTTTATTGTCAATTATCAACCGAGTATTTTGAAATTTTCAGAATAATTAATCTAATCCTATAATAAATTCATTTAATTTTATGCTAATCACTTTCAACACGAAAGTAAACATCTTAATAATTAATGGATGTGTAGATAAAATTTTAATTACCATAAATGTACGTATTTTTAAACGTGCGTCATTTTAATGATTATAACCATAAAGCGTACTTTGTAACTTCAAATAATTACACTGAGTGTGGTTAAAATATATTTCATAGTTTTGTTCCATCAAATAATTAGAGTATCTAAAATTACTTATCACAGCAGAGTATTTTTACTATACATAATACATTACATAGTTTTCACAATAACTTTGATGTTGATGTTAATCGGAAACCATTTAGTAATTCATTAGTAGCATAGCTAATAATGCTGTCTATATCAAAGTGTCCAAATTTAATTACTAGTCAAAGTCTGTATCAGAAAACTAAAAGATGTTTGTATATTGATTCTAGGTGGACTAGTGCCTGTTTCTTATAACTGTCTGCAATACATAAAAACATAACCCATAAATAATTCCAGCTCAAAATCATTGAATGAGCAGAAATTATTAATTTTTTAATTTATATATAGTTCAACTGTTAATTTGGAATACTCTGTTATATTTTTTATGATTAATAAATATGATTTATATGATTTTATGATATTTTTATGATTAATAAATAAAAAAAATAAGTCAAGTTCAAGATAATGTTTAAATGTCAAAAAATGATGTGCTCACACTCAATTTACAATACTTATGTTTCCAGAGAGTAGACTCTTTGACAATGTCAATACCTTAAAAAATGAAAATCTGCAGCTAACCTTATTAAATGAAAGGATTAGATTTTCAAGCACTGATGGGTCACCCAGCGGAGGTAAGATTTCGAAACTATAAATATAAAATTGCCATAAAGCTATAAGCAAACCTCTCACTGCTGCAGCTATTTGAAATTAGTTACGTCATGTGCCTTTAAATAGTTTGATTTTAATGTAATAAATATGTATTATATCCAGTAATGTTGATTAAAAATCTAGATCCCTGACATACACAAAAATTCTGACTGTCTACTAGAGCCCACAAGACCTATAATGTGTATAATCTTCAAATTCAAATGTGCATTCAGTCTTAATTTCTTTAAAATAGAGCTGCAAATTGTAACAGAACAATTAAACAGATTAGCTTCCGCAATTAAAAAAGTGTACTAAATACAGTACAGTACAGTCATCCAATTTTTACAGCAAGTGCCAGCAATGAAAGGATACAGGCTATGGAGCAAAAAATTCTTGTACAACAGGAAGAGCTAACATCATTACACAGACGAAGGGGGGAGAATGCACAGCAAATAATGAGTCTCAATGAAAAAGTACATGACTTAGAGAAACAGCTTCAAGCAAAGGATGTCATGTAATAATCTTTTAATATATCAAATAAACAAAAATAATGTGATATCTTATAATTGTAAGAAATTACTTTACCATAGGCAGTGGCTGTACTCCTGGTATATTTTGTGCTTATGGCCCAAATGACCACTTACCATCAACAAGCTGCTCTCTCTTCTGTGTTCAACATTAATAAGAAGACTTGATTAATCTTCTTAATATATATAAATTACGTGTCACGTTCTTTGTCTGAGATGGACACTTAAACTACTGAACCGGTTTTTAACTTTTTTTTTTAATATGTGTTTTGTTCCAACCTAGGCCATAGGATGGTTTTTATTAATTAACAATAAAATGAATTGTTATGTTGATTATAGTTATTAATTGTAAGTTTCATAAGTCTAAAAAAGATGGCGCCTTAATTAAGTTTTTACAGACAATTGTAATACTGTTTGACATTAATATCTCATAGATGGCGCTGTGCTAAAAATACCAACGTTTCACATAAACTTTAATTTAATGGTATAAACACCACGTGTTGCTGAGGCTAAAGTTTATTAGAAATTTATTTCGTAGTAAATGTGAAACCCAATTGTTCTTACTTTGTGAATTTTTGGTATGAGCATAGGCGGCCACGTGCTATTTAGAACCAAAAACCTTAGCCACAGCAACATGTGGCCGGGTTTGCTTGTAATTACTAACAGATTTTACATTAATTATGCTTGTCATATCACAGAATTTCCACGCAAGACTATTTTTATGTACACTTATGTATAAAATGCAAATGTGCATTTAATTTTTTAAAGTTCGTAGGTGTACTCATCTGTCAGTGAACTCAGTAATATTATTATATTTATATTGTTAATAACCGTTATGACACTTAAATTTGGAATATCATTTTTTAGAATTTCAGAAAACACAGCATTAATTGCTTCCTTACGAGCTGAAATACAAATGTATGAAACAAATATGTCAGAATTGCAAGGTTTAAATCAAGTGCTACGCGATGAACATCAAGCCTTACAGATAGCATTTGCATCTATTGAAGAAAAACTGAGGAAGGCCCAGGTAACTTAATTTGTCATTATTTAAATTCATGTTTTAAAAGAAACAAGATCTTTTGAAACGGTATATTATATAGTCTGAAATGTTGCCATTATACTTATTAACCATGAAATCATAGGTAGAATTTCCAGTGTTAGAATTAAATAGGCACATCGATGATTTCAGTATGTTTAGCAAATAACAAATTCCAAGTTTGTACTCTGAAATACCTTGAATAAAATTTTCTCTTAGTTTCTCTTTGAAATAAATTAACTTGTCAGACTTTTATGTCATCTTGGCCTAAAGGCTTTGTTGAAATCACGCATGCAAGTATTTTTTCTTTTCTTTTGAATTCTATAGTTATTCCATATTCACGAATAACTTCTATAATGAAAAAATAACATCGTGTAATCAAAATCTCACAATATAAATTGCAAAATTACTGGTGGTGATTGCATTGGGAGCCGCCGTCTGTTTCTGTCGCGAAACGATTTGAAGCATTCTCTGGGAATGTTGTATATGGGTTCTGGTAACCATTTAGCACCAAATTAATGTGTCGTAAGATCATTCATTCGTGTATGAATAAAAATATATTTTGCATAACACGCACTATACCGATTATTAGTGTTTATTATTCTTTTTTTTCCCTACTTAATCGTTGGTAGCCTAAGGGGCTATTCCAACTTCGTGCGGACTGGTAGGAGAGTTCACGGGCTCAACTTGAGAGAATTGCTAAGACTAGCTCTAGCAAGAGCAATGCTTCGCTGAATCTACTACCGGATCGGAATCGCGACCCAATGAAAAGATCCAGCGAGAAACTCTTTGGGTTGGGTCTATGAGCTAGTTTGTATGTCGAACTCTTCGTCGGAGTCGTCGACCGAAAACCTTATCAAACGCTACCGTTACAAAAACAAACGCAAGCAGTTAATATTAGTGCGACAGCCAGCCGCTAGATGGCATTATTCATAAAAATTTTACATAAACAAACTGCAAAATATTTGGTTATTTGTCATGAATGTACAAAAAAATATCCATCTTGAATACAAATCATAAAATATATTTAGAAAAAACAAATTGTTATTGAGTATTGGTCAGTCTCTCACGATGAAATACCAAAAACAACAGTACAAACTATAGTTTACTAATTCTGCAACTTCCAGAATTATGAATTACAAAAAATAATAAATCATAAGTATATACCGTTCATAATCATCATCATCAGCCTGTATCTCTCCAATGCTGGATGTAGGCCTCTCCCATAGTCCGCCAAATGAACGATCCTCTGCCTTCCGCATCCAATATACCGTTCACTATTATGGAACTTATATCAATTTATTATCTTTTCTGCTTCTTAATGAGCACTCTTGCCTCCCTGTATGTCAGCTGTTTAATGATCGTTAACACGAACGAAATTGTGAATATTTTTCGGTTTTCCTAAATACTTTATTCTTTCATCTAGGCACTTCTAAGAGTCAAGATGAATAAATAAAATCAAATCGTAACTCAATGGTTGTTTGTGTAAGACGCTTTGGTAGGCTATTAAAAAATTAAAAAATAACCACTGCGTTTGATGCGTGCTATTGTTTATATTGAGTACAATATTCTTGGCATAGTTATGTTGCTTGTTAGTACGAACAATTTATTCCAGTGGAACTTTAGATTTTTATAGCATCATTTTAAATTTGGCGTTCGTCCAAGCCGGGGCGAGGTTGACGTTTCATAATATTCAGTGTGTTATCTTTAATTTTAGTTATATAAATAAATTCAAATTTAATCCGAAATAAAACGTCAAACGAAAATCTAAATGGACGAAAACATACCTATACGATACCTTGCAAAAGCCATACGTACTAATTAGTTGCTGAGTGTCCGAAGTCACGCTAGACTATTTATTTAACGAAAATATTGTTACTTACTTAAATTAACGACCTCAAGTAATAATCCCTGTGGCTCGTAAATTGTAACACACTATATCTTTTACGGCACCTCACGTGATAAAAGTTTTGTATACGGAAAACTCATATAGCTATGTTACAAGTAACATCACTTACAGATTCAGTCGGTTAGAACGTTTCATGGAAGTGTGTCACTTGTTTCATATAAGCTTTAGCGTTGAGTTTAATTTTTTAAAAAATCAACGAAATTGTGAAATTAGTGAATTTAAATTTCAATTTGTCGTAATAAAATGCGGAAATCCTTTAAATCGGTAGACCATCCATTGACGTATATTTTGTGTGAATCATTTAAATTCATCTTCATTTTGTTTTAGTGTTTATTTTTGTTATTTTAGGACGAAAATCGATCACTGGTTGAAAGACTTATAAAGTATAAATCAAAAGATGCCGATAAAATGAACGAAGAAAATGAACATTATTTAAAGTAAGTAGTAATTGTAGTGTGAATTTATTTATCTGTGATTTGATAACTAAAATATTAAGCATGTTTTTTGCAGTTTCATAGGTCATGTTTTCATTCACTTGTCGTTGCCCACGCACATGTGATTGAATCCATAGTCATGTCAAATTTTAATCAACGATACCTTTGTGACTTCTTTTAAATATTTTTCGTAGGAAAGTTTGAATGCAATATTTTTGGGAATTTGGTAGCAATGTTTTCGTGGCTGGAAGTATTTTAGTTGCAATGAATCATAGTGAATGTCGCTGCTGTCTTTAGTTTTATGTGCACTCGAAGAGAAACGATTTGTCTCATACAAAGTTCGATCTGGAGTACCAGTATTTTAGAAAGTTTATTTTGTATGGCACAAGTCGTTATAATAATTAACTGCACAAAAGCTGTGAAGTTTGTGTTGACATTTTGTAGAGGCCATAGAGTAAATACAGAGGGCGCTGTGTGTGCGACGCAGCTTCGATAGCTTGCAAAAGTACCCATGATATTTGTTTGCTTTTTTTTGTTTAATTTCTTCAACAGGTCAAGCAACCCTACCGCGTTTTTCTTCAACACATTCGGTAGAGTTAGTTTCGGGTGAGTTTGACATAACGTGAAAAGAGATGTGGTGGTTTGAAGGCATTGTGGCGTTCATATTGAACATTTTATACTTCTCCATAAAATGGCCCATTATATTTATGTCTTAACTGCACTCTGAAACTGACTCATAATATATTTTTCTTCTTTTATTATTTTTATTGTTATGAATGTACAGTAAAGGAACTTAATCTGGTTGATTTTCTTTTGGTGTTTATGACGTGTGTACATACCCTGGCACTTATATTATATTTAACTGGGATCTTTTCATTTTGTTGTTGTACAAACGTCCTTATATCATTCTATTTACCTAAAACATTATAGCGTGTGATATGTGCATGAGTTTTGCCTGTGTAATATTTTTTTTTTTTTTTTTTTTTTTTTTATTGCTTAGATGGGTGGACGAGCTCACAGCCCACCTGGTGTTAAGTGGTTACCGGAGCCCATAGACATCCACAACGTAAATGCGCCACCCACCTTGAGATACAAGCTCTAAGGTCTCAAGTATAGTTACAACGGCTGCCCCACCCTTCAAACCGAAACGCATTACTGCTTTACGGCAGAAATAGGCAGGGTGGTGGTACCCACCCGCGCGGACTCACAAGAGGTCCTACCACCAGTAATTACGCAAATTATAATTTTGCGGGTTTCATTTTTATTACACGATGTTATTCCTTCACCGTGGAAGTCAATCGTGAACNTCTAAGGTCTCAAGTATAGTTACAACGGCTGCCCCACCCTTCAAACCGAAACGCATTACTGCTTTACGGCAGAAATAGGCAGGGTGGTGGTACCCACCCGCGCGGACTCACAAGAGGTCCTACCACCAGTAATTACGCAAATTATAATTTTGCGGGTTTCATTTTTATTACACGATGTTATTCCTTCACCGTGGAAGTCAATCGTGAACATTTGTTGAGTACGTATTTCATTAGATATATATATATATATATATAAAATATATCTTCAGTTAATAAAGTATCGTGAATTCGTGTTCTATTAATGTAAGTAATTAAACGCGGCTCATATACGTGGCAATCGTTTAATGAGCTGTGAGATTATTCGTTTGCGTCAACACATGTGTAAAAATAGGTTCGTATGAATGAACGATTTCGGTGTAGGTACCTACTATGATTGTGTTTTTCGTCTATCACTAGAATAACTATCTAACCAAGTGCAAAACTGATATCAACCTTAATAATTCCATCATAAGGAATGTTTTGAGGTATTTTTGAATTGTGATTTAGTTGAGTACTGATCATTCATTGGTCTTTATTATAATTTCTTTTAGTATGCTTGTTCTCAGCAGAAACTTGATTTATCACGCATTATGCATTCAATCGTTTTACTCTTAAAATTTGTATATAGTTTTTAATTCCATTATATTGCATGTCAACTGTATTATAGACTATGTTGCGGCGTTCATTGAAAGTATAATGATTTACTAAGCGAGAAAGGTAATGGCTTCAAAAAAATTAGGTCATGTTGGAGGTCAGGTCAGGTTGGAAAAAAATATTGGTGAAAATGCAATTTGATTATCATCATTCGATTTAAAATCAATGGATACGTTTGGGTCGCGGTTGAATTTAACCAATGTAACAACAACCTTTTTTGCATGCTGTACAAAATTAATACTTTTTTTTTTTTAAATTACTCATTGATCAATTTACCTAAATTATATATTACATCGCTTGAACAATAATAGCTTTACGGTTCGAACAGTCGTAAATGTGGGAAGCCATGGATGCAGATTGTTGCGTTGTGAGGAAATAGAACATTTACGATGAAATGTAACATCGTAAAGAATACATAAATGTCGATAGAAGACACACGCGCGCTAAACGTTAAACGTATTCTCCAAAGAAACTCTCGTACGTCATGACGGAATGTTTTTTTTTTATTAATGTACTTTAAACTCGTAGTTATATAAGGGAACAACGCAGCAATTTGTACGAACTATAAGTCCTAAATAATTTCAAAAAACTTCGAAGAAAATTCACAGTGATAGATCCATTGATTTCAGAAAGAAAAGCGACAAACTACGGAAGGAATTGGAAGAGGCCGCAAGGGAGGGCGGAAGTCGAAGCAGTGGCGGCTCGGCGGGAAGCACAGACGACAAGATAATGGATTCCTTGCCTTACTATGCGACGGCGCTGCCCTCCAAAGTTGCTATTCGATTTGTAAGAATGTCTTTTTGTTAATTAAAAATGTGTTCACGTTTTCTTGTTATTGTTACGCGCTGAGGTTCGGGATAAACAAATGTTCCACCAACGTACAACTTAAAACTGTATTTATTACTTAGAACACTCGCAGAACACTTTAAAATTCTGATTTCACTTCTTCCGCTTCGCTTCAGGTGATCCATTCGCTGTTTCGCTTCGAGTAGTTCCGATTACTAACTGATTGCGTGCCATCTCTGCAACGCTTTTATAGTCGATACGACATCCCTAGATTCGTCGAGAACATTCCTCACAAGTCGAGTACCTTCGATTAGTGTTTCCGCTCTCTGACAATAGAGTGAGCGTTGTAGATGTTACTATTTCCTTTGATATTCGTTGGGCTATGCGGCGATAGATGGCGTTTATTTTTACCGGCGTAACATAACTTTACTGGCGTCGATATGCAGATGTGCTTACCGACCACCTAATGTTAAGCAGTTACAAGAGATAACAGACATCAGAACAAGCATAATCTAGTCGTGATATAAAGTCAAAATTTGAACTGTTTCACCCTGGAACTAGAATGCATGAATACTTGGCAGTGGGAACAGGCAAATTGGTAGTGGGTACCACTAAATGCCCAGGTCTAGTTCTAGGACGCATATATGTATGTACTATTTTGAGTCGAAAATCTCGTACAATAAAAAAACTATTATAGATCAGAATGAAATAAAACATTATTATTACTACTTATTTACGAATATTTTTAAAAACATGCTTAAGTTGTTAAAAATATACCTGAAATTGAAAATTTTCTTTGAGTTCAGGATACACGGCTAGTTTATAATATATCGAATAATAAAGTATGTATTAAATTAAATTTAAAAAAAAAACTTAAACAAATTGATTGATTTTAGGACGCACACGACGGAGAAGTGTATGCCGTAAAATGGAGTCCGACAGATCGACTGGTGGCGACCGGCGGCGCGGACAGAAAAGTAAAGTTATGGGATGTTTCGAAAAGTGAGTGAAATAGCGTTTTAATAATATACCTAAAATAAAAAAGGAATATTTGATAGTACATTAGCGGTAGGCAGCGGCTTGGCTCTGCCCCTGGCATTGCTGAAGTCCATGGGCGACGATAACCACTCACCACCAGGTGGGCCGTATGCTCGTCTGCCTACAAGGGCAATAAAAATAAAAAAAACATTGTTGTCGGGTTCGTGATTATCAAAGATGTAGTTTTCCAATTCCGAAGTTATAACCAAGCGCTGTGACTCGTCCTTGTTCTAAAGACGTTTGAAAAGAGTCGTTACGATACTACGTTGTGGTAGCGCGTATTTTAAGCCCGCACGGGTAACACCAATCTGCCTATTCCTGCCATGAGTGCTATTAGTGTGCTTAGTGCGAGTTTTGTAACGTTCTCGATAGCGTTAAAGTTAACTCAGTTGGAATACTTGCCTACGTTTGCCTCGAGGGGCGCTGTTCCAACTGTCTACAACTTTGAGTTAACTTTTACGCTTTCGAGAACGTTAAAAAACTCGCACTAAGCACCCAGTTACAGTTTGAAGAGTGGTACAGCCTTTATAGTTGACACCTCGACCTCATGTCTCCAGGTACAATAAATGTATTGTAATATTTATGGGTTCTCCCGTAACCACTTCACCGGATGGTTCGTAAACACATTCGACCATCGAAACTAAAAAAAAGTAACCCAAAAATATGTACAGAATATGTATTCGACAAAGACAATATTTGAAATAATTAATGTTAAGAAAAGGCAATTTGTCAAACAAACCTAACATTAAACGGTCAATATTTCACTGCAGAATGATTCGGAACGTTGAAATAAAAAAAAAAGTGTTACGTGAAACTTTTTAGTAAATTTTCACTACGTCTCTTAGCTACAAGGCATATTAAGTAATCAAGATTTATATCTTACCAGGAATTTCTTAAGCCTGAAATGGAAATCAAAATTCTTGAATATATGTACGCCGATATATACCCTATTACAGTTTTGTTAAGACTCGAAGTTTTTTAAGGGATTAGGAATTTAAAATGTAGATGAATGAGCATCTAATGGCAGTGACGTCATCGGACATAATTTTATATTCTAGTAGTAAACAATGACCGTAAATATTAATATGAATTGGTGCTAAAGTTAAAAAAGTAATATCTCAATCAATTTACTTTTTTAGTTAAAATAAAAATGTTTGGGTAAAAATAATAATAATAATAATATAATAATTTATTTATTAACCTTGAAAACATTTACACATAACAGTTTGCTAAAAACTCTCCACACTAAGCACTGCCTGTCTCGTGGAGTTTTTTACAGGAGTATCTTAAAACTAGTAATAACGGTGCTGAATATACGAGTAAATCAAAATAGGTAAGCGAATATTATACATTTATATATACACACACATATATATATATATATATTTACATACATACACATACACACACATACACATATATATAAAAAGAAAAGGAACAGGTGTAATGATTTTTACCATAGGTACGTGTTTAGGGTTACTTAATGCATTTCAGAAACTCCTCCGAAAAAGAGTAAGACCAATTAAGCAGTTCTTTTGTTAACTTTCTTTTAACTTCTTCGTAATTTAGGTTAAGAATTTTGTATTTTTTGTTGAGTCTGTTATATAAGTATGGTTTCATGTAGGAGCTAAAACGGCGAGCAAAAGCCGTCCTAACTGAGGGCGTCGGGATTATAGGAGTACGTTTTGTAACAAGAACTTTGAAGTTGGTAATTTTAGGAACTTCTCTGTGGTAATCAAGGGCTGCCCTAAGGATAAATATTCTTCTCACGCTCAGGACCCCAAATTCTTTAAAGAGAGTGTCTGTGGGATACCGAAATTGTTCCTTTAAAATAGTTTTCAATACTGCTCTCTGAGCTCTTTCAAAGGTAATTAGATGAGAAGTGGCTGCTCCGCCCCAGGCCAGAATGCAGTATGAGAGTATGGATTGACATAGGGCGATTTATTAATTTAGGCATTTACATATAAATAAGTAAAGTTAACATTATTGGGTGTAAAATACAATTTTATGTCTGTGTTTATATCTGGAGCGTGTGTATTATATCTCAAGGTCGGTGGCACACTTACGTTATAGATGTCTATGGGCTCCAGTAATCACTTAGCACCAGGTGGGCTGTGAGCTCGTCCATCCATCTAAGCAATATAAAAAAAAACACGGACTAATCTAAATCGGCTACATACAACTTTTCAATTCACCCCTTCCTTACAGGTATTGTTGAAAACAAGGGTACATTAGTTGGTTCGAATGCGGGTGTCATGTCTGTGGACTTTGATTCCACGGGCGCGTACATTGTGGGCGCCTCCAATGACTTCGCGAGTCGCGTATGGACGGTCGCCGATCAGAGGTTAAGGGTAAGTTGCACTTGAATCAGAAAATTACGTTGATATTTTATTATTAAAATAAAGGAAGAAGATATTACATATTAGCTTCTAGCAACGTTCAAGATAAATGTTTAATTTTCAAAGTGATTTATTTTCTTCTAAGCACATTAATTAATACATACACACACAGGAGGACGCCCTTACGCACGCATACATAAACAATCCATTGAAATTATAATGACGCATGAAATTTAAAGCAGACAATGTACGCTCATGGACATCAGCTTAGGACTATCGCTTAGGGCTATTAAACGACGTTTGAACGTAGTACTCGCAAACATCTTGGAAAAGAGTTCATTTCAGAGCGGAGTCATACATGGCAAAAAGGATTTGTACACGCACTGTGTCAATTCGGCTCATTTATCGGACGCTGCTATGGTCCTAGAGATAGCTGTACAAAATCACTCGATGCCTCAAACCACTACGAATTACTTACCATATATAATCGATTAAAACGATTAATCGATTCGATCGATTAATCGATTTTCAATACCTACAAGATAATATCAATCGGTACCACTATCAGAATTCTAAAATGTATAAAAAGTGTCCTACGATACATTTGTCATTTACTGCAGTGTAAATACATTGTAGCAGGCTGGTAACAACAGAGGTACATACGTACAATTAAAACAAAAACTAACAACGTAATGTTAATTGACTCAAATCATCTCATATAACATTCGAGTCGTTATTAAATTCACAAAAGAAATCAATGATCTTTCGTGTTATTGGTTCTCCAATAATAAAATAAGAGATAACATAAAAAATGTGACTTTCATCAGACCGCTGCTTTTCAGTACCTGACAGGAATATGCGAACAAGAATGTTGATTGATATTTCGTGAGCATCGTCGGGTTAAGATCTAATCAGTGACCGAAAGATGACAGGTCTAGGTCATAACTAAAGAGTATTAGGCTAAATTCGTTATGTTTATACATAGCAGAACTAATTAGGCTTAGCTTAAAAAAAATGGCGTTTGGTGTTCCACTTACGTTGAGCACGATAGTTCAAGTATAATTAATGTTACATTTAGCACCATCCTGTCTCTTTCTGCCGTAAAGCAGTTATATGTTCTAGCTTGACGTTGGAACAGATCGTATAAAAAAAACGAAACTTCAATGTCATTTCAAAACAAATGGCTTTCACATTTTGACATCCAATTAAATATGGTTTGAAAACCTATAGATTTGTAAAAAAAACATAATTATGAAGAATCTATTAGTTTGATGATGATTCGCTTATTTTGTATCCTTACATATTTCCATTAATTTATGTAAACTTTGTCGACCTAAAGATGCTATTAAAGTAACATTTTCATATAGCATACATTGTGAAAATTACACAATTCCGATGTGATAGTAAAATATTTTGATGTAAAAAAAAATGTTGCTTAGTAATCGATAAATTTGAGAAACAGTGGTCGCCTATAAACTGTTAAACGTTTATCAAAACTGCAGTCTAATAATAAGTTAGTTGAACAATAATGGTGTACGTCAGTTTGGATGTTAGTATTGAGCTCGGAAGGCGGGGTCACGAACACGATCATCTATTAACGGATTGTTAGTCCGCGTCTGCGCTTCGTGATCCCTCGCTGATCACTTCCGACATTACACTTTGATACCGATTCTTCATTTTTGATTTGTATAGGTATAACAGCATTAAGCCGGCCAGGCAATTTGTTTAAGTATACATTATAAATCTGAATTGTTTACGAGGACAACCACAATAATTTATCGTTGGACACAGTAGTTTAATAAAGGCCGAACAGATTAACTTAATTTTATACGTACTAGCTTGATTTTCATCATAAATTTCGTGTCAGTCAGGCCTCAACTTGACTATCTTCTATTTGTTCCGAGATCGTTGATCGTCTAAGAGAATATTGTACTTCTTTACCTGACATAAATCGCAAGAATGAGATAGATATATTTATATCGTCGAACTCAAGACCTTTATCTAATTATGGGAAGACATAATTCACATTACACTTTATATGTTAGCCGTAAAGTACTCTAAAGGTATATTACCCTTTCGCCCACCCATATTGCGGAAGTTTTCGTGCGAAAATAAATGAGTGCTTGCTTTCTCGTCAAACCCTTATTCAAACACACGAGTCAGCACGAACGTCAACAAATTATCGAGTACGCCCACTCGTTTACTGACCGATCGATTATTCGATCGCGTATCGAATTGAATCCAATACTTTTACATTGTATACCATTATAGTTGCATATTTATTAATGTACTATACGTACTTAGATTTATTGCTCAATTAATATTGCTTAAAGAATATACGGTGATATTTTATTGAACCGATTAATTCGCATTTACCGAGAACAAATAACAAAATTAGAATTATTTTAAAGGCGATTAGAATAACATTGAAACTATAGTAGTTAATAGATTTAGATTGATTTTTTTGTTTTAGGCATCACAATCGAGAAAAAAAGAAATATAAAAAATAAATACATTTTTTGCAAAGAATTTAAAACTGATTTTGTTACACAAAACTTACAAATGGCTGATGTGTCATCTTTATTAAAAATATTACTTTAAAGGTCTATGATATATTATAATTTCGAATTTGACATTTCGGATACATTACAGTGCTAAGTAATCGACTATAAACACTTTATATTATTCTCTAAGGCTTTCGCGAGATGACTAAAACTGCTACTACAATCGGCCGGTGACCATGAAAAGTATGTGAATGATGGAAAATCGTAGCTTAATCTAACAAAACCCTTAACCGTAAAAAAAATTAGACAAACTACTTAACAATCCATGGATGGATAGATTCACCGTGCGGGTCCCGGGTCCAGCATGTTGCAGAGAATGAGGAATTTACACAAAGAATGCCAGCGGACCTGTGACTGGTTTAAGGGGAATTGTCAATACGAATTACGCTCACCTCCATTCTCCGCATTTCCCTCCCTATCTTGCCAAATCTGGTAAGAACCTACTAGTGCTAGGCTTTGGATTGTCATTCAAATATAGAATTTACGGAAGTTCTCCACAAACCAAGGTCTTTTAGTAGATTATAGAGAAATTTCGCTAGCGTACTCTCGCTCCCACTTCGACAGCTAACCACGTATCCATTTTCTGTTAACTCGTTCGTAAGACGGTATTTGTTTCTTTGTTTATGGTCTTTAGGTATGTTTGTTTCCTACGGTACACTGAGCTCTACTAGTATTATATGTTAGATTATTCTAGAAACAAGGAATATATCGGTATACAAGACAAAAATCGGACGTTCTCGGAGAATTTTGAATATTTCACATTCGCGTCTCGTATTTGTAAACACTGTATATTATTTGAGCGTTATGTGGCGTTTAAGAGAGGAAAATCGACAAAAATGCCAGTTTTGTGGAAAGGAAATTCTTGGATTTTGCATCTTTTGCATTTTCGTTTTTATAATGCGCATTCTCACAAGGCCATCATTATAAACGATTTTTTTACAAATACTATCGAGCAATGACTTTATTCACCAGATACAGCTCTAACCGACTTCTTTTTTTTCCTAATTCAAATGACCTGTTCCTGGCAACTATTGACATTCGGTAGGAGACATAAAAGTGAATTAGCGGTAAGAATTGACCTCAATTCCGGAAAAACCTTTAAAAGATATTATTATGATTGGATTTTATTTATTGGTGTAAGCGTCTTGTTTCTGAAGAAGTATGCATTGAAAATAATAATTTAAATTACTAACATTTTGTCTACTATTAATCTTTTCCCGGTACTTTCTTGACAGAGTAGTATAACAGTTTCTTCTTGATTACTTTAACTCGTAAATGCTTTATTTTTAAAAAGCCATCCCTATATTCATGAGTTCTGTATGGGCGTGAATATTTATTTATTTCTACATCGCAAGACCGTCTGCATGAGTGCGGCTAGGACTATCTCGTTGTAAATAAATTCACAAATTGCACATTGAATACCACTAACCGATGCTGTACAATCATTAAATAATGAACCAAATCGATTACGCTAGTGCTCTCAAAGCTTCGTGGATTTACGAACATAAATAATTTATGGTACCTCTCGATTACTTTGTTTATATTATTGCCTGTGATGGTTACAGAGGAATGACATTTATCTAAATTTGGATCATTGCACTAAAATTTGCTTTAATGAATGTAGCCCGTAATAAAACTTTTTTTTCTGCCTAAGCTGGTAACCTAGAGGCCATGTCACCGTAACCGGGCGAGTAGGCTAGGTCACGGGATTCTAATCTGAGGACGTTACTAATACTAATCCTAGCAAGAGCAGTGCTTCGCAGAATCTACCACCCGATCGCGACCCACCGAGAAGCTCAGGCGAGAAACTTAGTGGGCTGTATTTGTGGATTAATTAACCCGTCGCTTGCGACGAAGGATTCGGCGAGGACGGTGACCGGTGCTTGAGGTACCTGAAAGCACTGTTAATGGATTGGGAGGATCCATAAATACGTGTTTAGGGCAACGTCGACTGTTTACCATTCGGTCCACAGATTCGAGAACGATGACCGGAGCTTGTCGTACCTAAAAGCACCGAAATGACGTGTTTTGGGTGACGTCGAGTATTTACTTTATATATTTTTAGTAGCTTGACGAATGAAGAAAGCATAATCAAAAGACAATTGGAAATCAATTTCTAACTCCTTGAAATTTTTCTAGTAAACGTAACTCAAAACGTATATGGTAACAATATGACACGATGTGGTATGAGGCTGGTCTGATGATTAATCTGAAAGCCGGGTGAGAAAATCTTCGAATACGTATCACATGGTAAAGTTTGGGCTCATTAGATTTGTCTTATCGATCACTTACGACTTATAAAATACGGTTATGGTTTTTTAAACTATTGCTTACATATAAATATTACGAATATATTTCAAGTAAAAAAATATAACGTATTTCAAAATTGCCGTGCAAAATTTATTAGCTCAACTAAACCCAGTCAGGACATTTGAAACCAAAATATACAATTTTATAGCTTTAAAAACAATTTGTAATAGTAGTAATGTATTTAAAGAAACAGCGATTCAAACGCTTTACAAAAACAGCAATTCAAAATTCACTAACGTAAAAACATCCTCTATTTACGTTTTTAGTGCTTTATTAAATATGGTCCAGCTCCGGTATGGTGTACATTCGTTAAGCTTCCACTGAAAAAACCATGACTGTTTTACTTAAAAACAAACGAGTGAAATGTTCATTGCAATTTAAATACCATGGGCAGTATAAAAATAGGATCAAAAAAGAGATGGAGGTCACCCGAGTATTCGGGCGACTGGCACACGGCGAAATTAAAGTGCCAAGTTGCAGATTCGGTTGTTAATTGAGTGAAATGAAATTATCCGTTATTTTCTCAGAACCAGATTTCAGTGTCGAGTTCACTTAAATATTAAATAAAAGGAACAAAATAACTTTCCAACGAATTCTTACGTCTTTCGCACAATCAATTAAGCCTTAATTAATAATATAACTTTCGAATATTCATTACAAAGAAATTTAATAAGTAAATTTTGTATCGTAGCTGGAAAGTGAATTTATATGTAATATCAACACAAAAATACATATATTGATCTTAAATCTAATACATTTCTGGAAGCGGGGTGTCAAATTTATAATGATATAGACATTCAAGCATATTTCGTTTGCATCTCAATTTAAAATTTTTCAATATTCTACAAAATACTAAAAAAAATATTTATGTAGTAGGTAATGATTTTGATAAGTTTATAAATTGCATTGTTGATTACCCATTCGCAAGTTTCTAATACTATTGTAAAATCTCGGCCCTATTTTATAATACTTTATTATTATAAATATTTATTAGTTAGTTGCAATTTAACACAAGATTCGGCCAACTTTCTAAAATTTTCGGGTAAAAATAATCCATACTTAATATTATAACATCCAAAGATTTGTTTTGTTTGTCTCGTTTTTACGCCTTTTACTACTCAAACGGTTATTTTTTTTGGCATACACGTTATCAAAGGCACAGAAAACAGTATAGAGTATTTTGCATTTTAAAAAAAGACTTACAATACATCCTAGTAAAATAACATTAAAACAAACAGTACATATCCAAGTCTTCCCAGTACCATGGTCAGCTATATACAGCATTGCTTGTGTCCAATGCCCAGAATTTGTACCTATTAACGCCAAAGAGAAGAACATGCAACCTAACATACAGCAGCATCCTCGAATAAGGGCTATTTTATGGTTGAACAAATTAAAAAAATACATTTACGGGTGCGAGGCCGCGAGAAAAAAAACTAGTAAAAAATAAATACCCTCAGCATTATCTCATGTATCTATGCCAAAGGAATTGTTACGATTGCATGCAACCCAGGTAATTCCGAAACGGTGTTGTGACCTCTGAATCTCATCGATCGTTCCGCGCATTCCTATGTTTGTATGCTCATAGGAACACGGGCTTCAGACCTTTCTCTTAAATATTCAAGAAGTGAAGAGGCTATTGTCGTCGCTTACTTTCCTTTCCAAACGAAAGTGTCCTGATTCTTATTAAACAGTCAGTTTTAAATGCATATTTGTCACGACATAATTGTATTCAATTGGAAATGTTTTAGTAAGAAAGTTCCTTTACGACTCGTAAGTTTGGTTTTTGCAGGAAAATACAAAAGTATAAATTAATATAATTCAATTTAAAATAAAATTAATATAACCTAACAAAATTCAAGGTTTATGTTTATATTATTTTCACACAATGGACTCACTAAATATGTATTAACCTGTATCAGTTACAAGTTATGATAAAGTATGTTAAAAAACATCACTATCTCGTTTCTTAGTTAAATTAGTTTATTTAAATAATAACTGGTAACAGAAGCAAATAAGAAAAAAATGGATATATTCCGAAACATGATTCAAATATGAAAACCGGGTAAAGCAGACTTTTTTAAATGCAGAAATATGTGATTTTGAAAACGCATTACGACTGAGTCGACATGCCCATTGAAGAAGTTATTGCCCATCGTCTCACATAAATCGTTGTCAAGCATCCATTCGTTTTATTTTTACGCATGTTGCGATTCCGGTGGTCACAGTCGATTCCTTTCTATGAATATTTCATATTATTCTGAACAACTTTATCTCTGACAACAATGTTACATTCAACATTTAAATTTTATAGTCCTATGAAAGTACTAGGCCCATTGTCGTCAACAACAAAATTGCGTATATAAGCAGTTATAATCTGTATACGTCTAGTAGCAAGCCGTTTAATCCAAAATTATAGCAATGCAATGCATTAAGAAATTAGCATCATCATAACGTCCTTACTTGGCACATCTAAAACGGATAAAACTCGGCTTCAGACCTTTTGTTCCATACGTAAACGCGTGCTAAGATTAGATTATTTTTAATTAGATTTTTTTCCCCAAAAATATTTAAATACGACGTTATCGAGAACAGATTTTTTTGTATGTTTTGCCATGTTAAGTGATCTGTATCGAATCAAATATATTCTCAAATAAATATCTAAATCACTAATACCTAATATTATTGTTGGCATACTAAGTGTACCTATATGAACAAGAATGCACGTGCTTAGTGCACTTGCTGCTTTCATCTAGATATGCGAAGAACATTTAGCAGACCGCTAATATTCAACACTAACTCAGCAAGGAAGGCGGCACGTGTCTGTTTGTCGCGTGCCGTCGTCAGCGTAAGGCGATTTAATCTCATGCACGAATGTGTACTCGAGAGTCGAGACCTGCCCCTTTAGACGTGATAATGCCGCGCGAACCTTGACTTTGAGATCACATCTTATTGATGTGTGCCGTTGCCGGTCCGAGAACTATCCAGATCACTGCCTCTAAGGTGTTTCTGTAACATTATCTTTTTTTTATAACGTCTTACTCAATATGGTAAACTAAATTTATTTTAGAGATTGTGTCTGGTACGCCGTGGTCTATTTTATTTGTAACTAGCTGACCCGGCAGACTTCGTAGTGCCTTAATCGATAAATAAAAGACCTATACTTTTGTATAAAATAAACTTCAAAAAAAAACAAAAGGAATCCGTCCGACGGAGGACACATACATCAAAGGGAAAACAAAATTGTTATTTTTATTTAATTCCGAGCATTTTCATATTTATCTACCTTTTAAACCTTCTCTGAACTTCCATAAATGATTCAAGATCAAAATTAGCCAAATCGGTCCAGCCGCTCTCGAGTTTTAACGAGAATAACGAACAGCAATTCATTTTTATATAATATATAAGAAGATAATCCAAAATTTTTTTTTACCCTCTAACTTTATTAGTATGTAAGATTATGGATATGGAAACAAATGCAATGAAGATTTCGAACTCGTATCTCAAAGTTGGTGAAGATATCATTTTTGTTATAGTAGTTGTATACTCCAGTAATCGCTTAACATCAGATTTATCGTGTGAATGAGCTCATCTGTCCATTTAAGTTAACGTAAAATATAAACAGACCTGTAGCAATCAAATTCCGAATGTACTAACATAAGGTAATAATTTAAATCACAGATGTAGTATTTCAATGAGCGATTTAAAAATTTTAACATTTAAAATTTGAAAAGGTTCGTGGTTTATTTCTTTCAAATAAAAAACACAGATATTTAAAAATATTTATTCCAAATAAATGACCTGATGACAATCGGACGGATGAAATAAGACGCTCTTTAAAAGCGTAAACGATTTCTTTATATTATGTTTAAGATGCATTTTTAATAATTAAGTCTACATAATTCTACCTGTGTTTACTCTTAAGCTTTCTTTAGCTTAATTTAGATAGTTATGTTAGAAATTTATTAAATAGATATAAATCGGTCGTAAACTATGTAAATAAAATTATCCTAAATTCAAATAAATACGATGTCGGGACGGCCGTCAATCCATCGTTGCTTGACTTAGGTCGCACGTTCGCTAATCTACTTAAGGTACTGCAATTTTACTTTTATCTATCTCTATGATTAACTTCAGGCTTATTCTACATTTAATATATATGGTACAATACTAAACAGATTACCGCGAACAGCTTTCTGCGTTTTTAAATGAGAAGAACGAATGAGCGACGTGATCTCGATTACGACTCACGGCCGCGGTCCCGCAAACGACATCAGAGATGGGGACAAGTAAGCGTCCTTACAAAAATCAAAAACTTGCACTACGATCACATAACGCGCCGGCCCTAACATTCGTCCACATTTGCGCACGCTTTTGTGGTCGTCCCCTTCTCCGTGTCGTGCACTCTCACATCTTTCGCCCGCACGTAGCGTATGACGCGGAAGTGCTCGGACACTATTAATAAATAACCGCTGTCGTGGTCCTGTACTCTTCAAACAGAGAGTATGTCACTTTTGTATCCGAGAGCCGGGACACGACGGGGGTTTTACAATAACAAAATAAACTACTATTGCGAACGTTGATCACGTCGACATGTTTAGCGATTCTTCAAAAGTGCCTCTGATGTGCACGAGGGAAGCTCGCATCGTAGACCTTGCACAGCGAGGAGGGTGCGTTAGGACCTGGAAGAAGTTCAGCAGCTTTTGCAGCAGCACGTCTTCGTTGCCAACTGCAGGTCCACGCTGCAAGTACTACTAGTTGAGCTGCCAAGAAAGCGGCCGCAGCTAGCATGGCTCCTGAAGCATTCACACAAGTTCCGTCGGTCTCTCTTACATATACTGCATCCTCTGTGACATTCTTAGCACGTTGTTTGTCGAATCCGAATTTATCAGTAATCTGGATGGTCTGCACCAGAAGCATATCATCTGTAGGTGTAGCAGATGTAGAACGCCTCTTCCTACGACCGTATGACATTACTGAACGTAATTCATTCGGACCGCCATCACATTGCACTGGTTCGCAAGTAGGCATACAAGGAGTCACCAAGGCACGGAATTGCACAACTTCTGACGAAGGGAATTTGAAGGCGTCGAAATGTGATAGCAGCGTCTGTAAAAAATTAATCAGTATTACAATCAAAAAAACATTTCCAATGTAAAAATTAAAATGAATATTAATTAGACACTTCAAGGTAAATTTGAAGATATTTATAAATGCATTATTTAAAAAAGGAGGAATTTTACCTTTCCGCTTAAAGTGGACTTGAATAGTGGCCCCATGATAAAATGTTCTGTAGGGCAACCATCGCTGTCGATAAGCGTGATTTCGCTGGAGTCAACACCATCCATGGCAACAAGTTCTCGCACGAAGATCTCGAATGGTGAGTTGGGATCCATAATTTCAAATCGGAGAGCCTAAAATTTTAATAAAAGGTTAGTAAGACGCTTCCGTTGTAAAAATTAAATCAAAAGACTGAGTAAAGATGAATTAAAATTACCAATGGATCTCCAACTTCAGCAGAAGCAATAGTATCGTCACCACTCCTGTCTGTGATTCTCATCGCTACGTTGGGTGAGTCTACAATAACTTCCTCGGACAGACCAGTTTGAATGTCTCCGTGAATTCCAAGATCGACTTCATTGGCAACAGTCTTGTTTGTCAAATCATACTGACAAGTAACCGCTAAACCAAGATCAGACGAAGTTACGATTGTATCGTGGTGTTGAATAACAACGTCATTTAAATACCTGTCGATTAAAATCAATGATTTATTAGAAGAAATTCACTTTTAATAAAATAACTTATAACCATCTTTTATTCAAAAATATCGTTACCTTCCAAGTCCGTTTTGTTTAACATTACATTCGATATTGTTATAACCCATGTGCAATTCGAACTCAAGACTCTGTTTGACATCTACGACGCAAGAGTTTGGACTGCCTTTAGCATAGATTTTGCCGTCAAACAATTTGGATGTTTGAATTTTGGCAACCATGTCACCAGCACGACAGTCAATGGATACGTTGTAACAGGATGACAGTTCGTAAGTGGCTGCTTCGGGAACTTCCAAATAAGGATCCTAAAAAAATACTCATTGGTTAACTACTATACTTACATATCATTAGCAGCTAGGTATAGTTATAGAAGAGTATATACCTGGATATCAGCGAGTGTAGCCCGAGAGTGATGAGAAAGACGACAGACGTGGTCACCAGTATCACCGTGATCATATGAGTGACAACGGAAAGGCGAATTTAGACAAAGTTCTCGGCATTCTTCAATAGTCTGCACGTCTTGATATACGGAATCAACAGTCTTAAGAATACGTCCACCCATTTTTTTAAACTCGCACAATTTTGTTGGCTCTTCAACGCAGTTGTTCTCCAAATAGTCGGTGTCTAAAAATAAAGCAATATCAATATATATAAAAATGAATTGCTGTTAGTTAGTCTCGCTAAAACTCGAGAACGGCTGGACCGATTTGGCTAATTTTGGGTTTAAATAATTTGTGGAAGTCCAGAGAAGGTTTAAAAGGTAGATAAGTGTGAAAATACTCGGAATTAAATAAAAATAACAATTTTGTTTTCCCTTTGATGTTTCCCCCGTCGAACGGATTCCTTTTGTTTGTTTTAAGTTTATTTTATACAAAAGTTTAGGTCTTTTATTTATCGATTGAGGCACTACGAAGTCTGCCGGGTCAGCTAGTATGTAATAAAGTTTTATACTATTATTCGCTAGTAATATAGTTGATGAAACTACGTTAGATTACTTACCTTCGTTTGATTGAAAAGCGTTGGTTCCCGCCAAGGTGATACGGTCCATGTTAGAGAGCACACACTCGCCGGTTTTATTGTTATAGTTCGCAGATCTGCAACAAAGTTTCACACATTAAATTAACTGTACGTACGCTTTTTGCATCTTTGCCATGGGAATATTTCGTGTCATGAATGGCTTAACCATGATTGGTTTTAGGTTTTCTATAACATATTTATAACTAGTGAGTATTTACGTATATGTTTGATTCAGTATGATCAATTACGGCTATTGTAAATACTACCAGGTTCATGCTAATATCATGACCTAAGAATTCCTCGATGAAGTTGCACTTCTTGCAGAACCTGTTTTCGTAAGAGCACGGCTCCTATGATTGTCGACTAATAAATATTGAAAATACGAACTTAATATAATCAATGCGCTGTTGTTAACGTTACATTATTATCCGTTTATTGTAATTTTATTGTAATGAGCTTTTATCAGAGTACGTGCTGTTTCGATTAAATTGTTTGAACCCATGTTACTATAACTTTTACTTTCTGTTGCTCCGTCGCGACTTATCTACATTTAACTTCATGTAATACAATAATTTGTATAAAATGCTGTAATGTAGGAATACCAAAGTTTTTTTTTATTGTTCCAAGTGGGTAGTTGAGCTTATGGTCCGTCTCGTGATAACTGGTTTCTAGATCTCATGGCCATCACAAAATTAATGTCGCCACTCAATTTGTGATAAGAGTTCGAAGTCTTAATTGAACAGAATCTATAAAAACCGGAACGCATCAAGAAATCGGCAGGATTGCAGTAAATACCCGTGCGTTAAAGGTTTTGTTTTTTTCAAATGCAAAAAAGAAGTACATACTTTTTGTTGTATTTATCAAATCACAGAACATGAAATATAGTGGGGCTTATGGCCTTTAATAGTTCCGAAGCTCTCGATCTTTGCTATCGAATGAGCGTTTTGTTCATTATCTTTGTTCATCTAACACTATATTTTCTTTCGATGCACAGCCGATCCTGATCAGATGACCTCTGCTATAAAACTGTGGGAACATTTCTAAAATGCATTGCTTCTCATTCATAAAACACCGTGGCTTGCTCTAAGTTTGAATTGGGTTATTGAAAAACGAACTCGTGACCTGGATTAAATTTATGAAAGTAAAGATGTTGTTTTTTGCGTTTTTATGAATAGGCAGATGACCTCGTGATCGACTTAATTTTCATTGATCATACTACATATTAGGAACATAATAAGATTAGACTTGAGAAAATTTGGTACATACTGGACACTAATGCTTTTTACAATTATTTATATTAATTCACTTGATCCCCCTTGAGCTATATTCATTCCTAGCCGGATGTGAATTTGTATTTTTTTTTGTGAATTTCATTTCATATTTTTACGAAAAGTTCAGAAAATAACATGTTCGCTCTATCGGTTATTGTATCGTGAAAGTAGGAAGTGATAGGGCAGGGCGCTCCCACATCGTATGGTACACCATAGTCAGTCCAGAGAATATTTGCCAAATGTCGTGACTGTCGAAGATCGCGATGTGCGCCGCCCGGGGAGTGCCGACGCCGCTCGCCACACTCAATGGAGATACGACGATTTGTTTCCAACGGTACACGTGTCGGACAAACCTCGCCCGAGCTGAATCGCGCATTTAATCCCCTAATCTTCGTCTCTCCGCTCAGCTCAAGCGAAAAACCCTGAGATGACGGCGCGAAGTCGTGGAATTTATTACCGAGGGACCGTTGTATCGTGAAACGGGTTACGCTGCACAACGTGCTAAAAATATCAATTTTACAGTTAACTTGATACTCTTAAAGGTATTGAACTTTTCAATAAAAAATATTACTACTACTAAAGACTTTACAATCGTTGTTTTATAAAAGTTTGCAAACGTTTGAATCGTTTTCGGACAAACATCCGCAAATTTATTTTAATGACTCCAGATCAGATCACAAATAAAATCCATACATACTTGACCCAAACACGCCAGTGAATACGTGCATCGAATGTGAGCATCAGACACTGCACACTATTTATGTTAATGATATCAAAAACCTTACAAGGAAATAAACACAATAGGACAGTCGTGTCTTTAGTACATTAGACGCCTGAGACGCGGGCTGTGCAATTGGCCTCCCCTGCTTTGTATATAATGCTCGTTTGTAAGATTTAGAAACGGAATGACTACCAGGAAGAAGCCGTGACTTATCCAGTGAACTTGGCGGCTAAGATGCACCACCATCTAAGGAAACTTGGTGAAGTCTGATTGACTTCGTTATCGAACTTATCGTGTATAAATTAGCTTACTTGTGTGCCTATTTAATGAGGCTCCAACATAACGTTTAATATACTTAAGATCTTGCTTATTAATATTTCATAGGTAACTGTAATGGATAAATAATTTAATGGATAGAAAGTTGCGAATCAAGGATCAAGACAAGAATTATCGATTCGAAGAAATTTGCAACCTTATATGCCAGTTGTTAAAACAGTTACGCAGTAAATTATAAAGTCGATAGGTAATAGAAGTATGAGTGGCGGACAAAAAACAATATTTTATATACGATCAAAGTTCTAGAAACTACATGATTTTGGTTTGCTAACTTATTTCTCTATAATAAAGCATGATGCATTTATCTGTATTCCTAGCGTATTTTAATAAAACTGTTGACTGACAGTTTACTTATTACAGAGTTTTATTTTATTGAAATTGCTTCCGTTGTAACGTTACATTTAATGTTCGTCTCATAACATATATTTTGAAAGCATCATGTTATCTCGCTTATATTAAGACAAAAATTAATTAGAAACTCAAGCAAGCTTAGTACTTATATTATATCTAGTGTAATTCATAATATTATTAATTTAATTAAATAGCGAAGTAAATTAGGTTTTGCGCTGCAATTTGCATAATGTAACGGGCAGAGTTGAGCGAACTGTGAGCGTAGTGAGACATGAATGACCCGTAAAGCGTTGTTGATTTCGACGCGACCTACACAGGCAGCAAGAAGACTGTAGTCATTAAAATGTACTGGTTATGTTTTTCTGTAATAACATTCTATTACAGAAAACAACGTGTAAGCAACGTGATGCTTTTATTTTAAAAATATTTTTATCACATAAAAGTTTAATGTAATATGCAGTTACGTTTCAATGGAGGCGATTTCAATAAAAGCTTGCCACTTCCTTCTGTGTTGCGGTTTATCGCGGTTTGATAAATTCTGTATTCACGTCCATGAGAAAATACGAACAATTTTTTTAGTATTTCACCGTTAGAACCAATGTTTCGTCATCGTCAACGAAAAAAAATTTAATTAGACAGAAAATGTTTTTGGAAGCTTTTAAATTTAGCATTTTTTGTCTAAAATCTCGCGTATCTTAAACCATCCAAATGTCTATTCTTTGTACATTCTCCGTCATTTTAATTATTTCAGTTAGCTTAGGTAATATATCTAACCTGCAAACAAATTCGTTTTCGCCGAGACAAAGGTCAAGGCACATCTGCCGAGAGCCAACGGTGTGTGTTTTCTTGCCGTGTCCCTTGAGGTGGTAGCCTCGCACTCTATCGAAGCACCAGGCGCGTTCACACGGACGAACTCCCAAACAAGATTTTTGAGCGTATATAGTGAATACGGGGAACTGCGATTTCGTCAATGCACCTGCAACAAAACATACCTGTTATCATATCATAATCTTTTTTCCATTTATTTTAGTAAAAAGCATTTTGACAAAGTCCGATGTTATTAAAAGTCATGACTTTACTCTTAACAAAATGCTTGTGGGTGGCACGAAAATATGAGTTTTCAAATCATTGTTCCAAAAATACTGTTATGATCAAGAGAATGATTTATTAAACATTTTGTTGGGTCGTGTCGTTAACGGAACCTAAAAATATTTGATACTTTACCTATGTAATAATTTCCACTATTTATGACTATACCATCTGCCCTAATGATTGGACTTATGTTTAATTCGTCTTTTTATTAGCACTTGATGAGACAAAAGAGCTTACTGATTTGACCTTGTGTTGAGTAGTTACCGGGGTTCACGAAAGCCACAACGTATTGCCAACCTACCTTGAGATAAAAATTGAATTCTGTAATTTAGTAGACTTTAGACGCATTTAACAGGTTGATCATTTTTACTTTTTTACATTAATAGCTTTCAAAGTGCTTTGTGGTTGTAACTTAAGTTTTTTGGAACGAAGTTCCTTATCGCGCGTTGTGAAAGGGGGCTAGACGGAAAAAATTCTTACGAAAAGTTGCCACGACACTTGTTGCTAAAATTCTTACGAAAAGTTGTCACGACACTTTTGCAACGAAGTTCCTTATAGCGCGTTGTGAAAGGGGGCTAGACGGAAAAAATTCTTACGAAAAGTTGTCACGACACTTTTTGCTATAAATTCTTACGAAAAGTTGTCACGACACTTTTTGCTATAGTAAGCTATTGTAAGCTGTGCGGCGTCGCATGTTTCTCTGTCTGTCTGTCTCTCTCTCTGTCTCTCTCTCTCTCTTTCTTCATACCTCGAATAGAACTTTAAATTAATATTTTTATAATTGGGAACTTCGTTCCTATCCGGTGTCCCACGACACCACACATCTTTTTTTAATTTAATACGCGCATTCAAATTAAAACTGATGTGTATATTTGGTATTTGGAGGTCATGATTTTTTTCACAACAAGGTCAAGGCTCGGTTCACTTTAAACACTTGCAAATCAAGTTTTCGAGTTTCGCGGCGAGAGTATTTTTGCCCAATATGGCTTGATGAGTAAGCTTCGTTATGCCGTTATTGGTATGAAGCAAAAAAAGGAGTGCTCTTCAATAGTGTGTTCACATTATAGTAGGTATGTCGGACAATCAAGAGTACTGACGTTATTGTGCCAACTTGCTTTGCGTGTTCCGGTTAATCTTTAAAATGCGAGTAAGTGTATTTATCTTATCTTATACCTTTAAACGAGCAATTCTTGTATATTAATATATGTATATAATCTGAATCTCGGAAACGGCTCCAACGATTTTCATAAAATTTAGTATACAGGGGATTTCGGGGGCGATAAATCGATCTAGCTACGATTTATTTTCAGGAAATGTTGTTTTATTCGTGTTTTCAATAATCAACTCTTCCCGACATCTATTGGCGAATAATAATACTATTTTGCGTAATTGAGGGCAACTAACCGCTTTAAAGACACAAAAGATGGCGTTATCAAAAAAAAAAAAACCGGTCATCATCTAGTTTACGTTTAAACGAACACTTATTACAATTCTGTATCGAATAAATTGATCCAAGCGGAAACTGGTGAAATCTTTCACCCTTATTAGGGAACTAATTATCAAATAAGGTATGAAGATAAATTAGCACTTTTTTTTGATTTGCGTTATTGTTTCTATCATTTTCACAGTATAAGATTCGATATCAATCTTCCTTACGTAATCGTGTCAATAGCCGGTATGGGAAGAAAAGCTAAATAAGACAATACACAAAAGTAAAATAATAGCGATATTTTTTTAAACCTCGTTTCCTCAATAACTACTGAACTTTATTTTACTATTAAATGGACAGCAGGCTATTGCCAATACAAATCAATAACTACCATATCAAAGTAGCTAGATCACACATCATGATATTGGTGTGTCCTTAAAATACCTTCATGTAAACTATGCCTGTATGTTGAGTAAGTATTATTAGTTAAACTCAATGAAAAAAATTTATATAGTACACGCAAACCATCTCGATATAAAGTTTGCAAAAAATACAGACTCCTTAATATGATTTAAAGCCGTTCAGTTATTTTTAATCTCATAAAACTCACCAGGCAGTTGGTCGGCATCAGAACTGAAAAGCACACAAAGTCCCGTCTCGTAATTTACGGCGCGACAGGTGTCGTTAGCATGGCATTGCTCGAGGCAGTCGGTCAGCATCAGCGTGCCGGGGATGTCATCTAAAATTTGCGATGGCGCCGAGAACACGTACCTGCACATGCGTAGTTATAATTCGATTAGCATTTTTTGTAAGATGCTTTGTTGCGTTGTTTTTAAACAGTGATAATTTTGTATAATAGAAATATTTCATGTTATTAAAATGTCAAGTAGGTACTTTTTAATGCTATAATGTAGCTCGCAGCTATTAATATAATAAAAGTTGCATTTTGGTACTAACCCGGTCACTAATTCGAAGCCAATCATTTCGGGGTCACATTCTTCTAATGAATTAGCTGGTGCCGATGGTGCAGAAGCGCCACTGGGAGCTGACGGTGGTATTCCTTCGGATGCGGTTTCCGGAACAGCAGCAGGCTCTTCAGCGGGTTCTTCAGATTCTAATTCATCTTTAGGAGGAGGTGGAGCGCCAGGATTTTGATAGTCTTGAGGTGCAGCAACAACCGCCGGTTCGGCAGAAGCAGATTCGATAGCTAAGTTGTCCTCTTGTGGGGCCTCGGCTGCCGATCTCAAAGTTCCCTCGAACTTTTTTGCGGCGTCGACCGCGCACGCTACCAGTACTAAGCTGAATAAAATCCGCATTGTACTCGCTGAGAGGGGCCGTGGCAACATTTGTTATCTGTAACAAAAGGAAAGGTGTTGATTAAAAAAAAAAAACTTTTATGTCAGTTTAAAAGCGCTTAATTGCATGGGAAGCCGTTGAACTATTTATCGTATGTAAACCTATTCTACAACGCACGCAAACATTCTTTGTGGATACAGTGAAATCGTTTAATATCTTACGACCGCATCGAAAACTCCGCCGCCGCAAACGATGTGTTCCAGCGATACCTATTTGTTTAATGGGATTCTCTAGCTCGTACTGGACAAAACATTGAATTTCCTACATATTTTTCAATTTAATTGGACTTTAGTTAAAACCTGGCCAGAATAAGATCATGCAATCATAAACGAAAGTCGAATAAGGAAGTAACGTTCCAGTAATTACTGTTAGAGAAATAACAATTAAAAAACATTTGGATGCGTAATAAAAATGTGTTCATATTTAATGTAATAGAAGCTATCGCCAAAAAAATTAATTAATTTTTTATTTTTTTTATTGCCCTCGTAGGCAGACGACCATACGGCCCACCTGATGGTGAGTGATTACCGTCGCCCATGGACTTCAGCAATGCCAGGGGCAGAGCCAAGCCGCTGCCTACCGCATAAAATTATCATTGCACAAAATTACTTATAAAACACAAATTTCATAATACACATTCATTGTTTAAAATCTCTCTATATAATCGCTCTAAATATAGTACTTTCAATAAAACCGAACTCTGAAACAGTTGCAATTTTTTTGTGTATTTTGTGCTTAATTTTTGCTTAGAACCGCAAAGTCTAATACGAGTTAAACAACTAATTAATTGAATTTAAAAAATGGGCTCTGTTTTTTTAATATACTATAACAAATTGCATATGTGTGGTCCTTCTTTGTTTATAAACTTTGCAGCATGTTTGATTTGTTACAAACTTGTTTTTGCAAATAATTTAAAAGCGGATGACTCACTGTTTATACAAAATAAAAAAAATGTATCCAGTTTTCGGATCTCACGGATGTGTCTGTAATTAAAAGCTTGCTAAATAAATCCTCACGAACATTGTGGGAAATATAAGTGAATTTTGCGGAAAAAAAACCCGCTTTATTAAACCAGAATTGGTCATCATGAAACGGAAACGTTGCGTAAAAAAAAAACAATTGACAAAATAAAGAACAGAAGACTATGTTATTTCGCTAATAATATATATTATTACACGGCTGTCATTGGGTAAATTTTCACATTTAGATGAAGTGCAAGACTGAATAGACCATCCGATGGAAACCTAATTCATTTCATGCTTTAGTCTCGTGTCGCTCACGGCTTGATAGTGATTCGATCTGGCCGTCTACTAATCTTTACTATGAAGATAAGATTATCTAACACTAGATACTTTGCAATCATATCTTTTAGTAGTTTTTCGGTGTCTTGTGTTTTCTTACAGATAATTAGACGGTGATTAGTTTAATATTAAAATGGACGAATCGACCTTCGATATAATAAAATTCAAACACAAGAGATTAAAACAGTGAAAACAGTTTTAATTAAGTCTTGATAATCATAAAAGAATTTGTGTGCACTATTAAAAAATAAACATAAACTGAGAATAAATGAACGTTAAAAAAAATCTAATACAATAGAATTGAAAAGACAAGTGAACTCTGCACTCTTATTACCGACTTAAATAAGCAATAGATTTTAGTTCATATAAATGAATAGTAAGCTATAAATTTCAATAAAAATAAACAATTTAATCTTTCCATGAGAACAGCTAAAAATAATATATCAAAATAGTTTACAAAAAAGTACCGATTTATTAATATACTTTGTTTAAAGATAAACAATAAAGCTAGTAATAAAAGGGTCTCATTCCATGCACATATTCAATTTAACACGTTCGAAGATGTTCCAAGATCTGTATGCTAATGTTCTAACAATTCTACGACGTTCCTTGGTTTGCATTTAACCTAGAAAAGTTGAATAGCTCACTAATAACATAGAATAAGCGGCAAAATGCGAAACAAGAGAAATTACTGCTAAAGACAAACATTTTCTCAACGACTTAAACACTTCAACTCACAGATTATATATTGGCAAGGAATCGCTGTGATGCGGAATATATAAAAAAAAAAATTGTTGAAACATTCCGCGGTCACCGTCAGACTTCAATACTATACCACAGCTCTGTTCTGAAATGCCAACTACAACTGTAAAAAGCTCAATCGGATAAAAGACACTCGAACTTGAAGAATATGCACACACGAACCAAACCTAAAAATATTTATTTTCGTCTTGCCTTCAAGATTGTTACTTTAAGTAATTTTTAATTCTGTTTATTTCGTCTATCGGATTAACGTTTCTGAATATCCACTTTGTTGCAAAAAGAAAGTAAGTTTACTATCGATAAAGCACGGTGGACAACGCCGGCAATATGAATGTGCGGGCTGGGAGAGCTAGCCCCAAGCCTCGATCAGATGGGGTCAGCGCATTCAATGAGCCGGATGCCTCCAACCTGCTATTTACGTTTCACCATACCTGTACTGGTTGGCACACTATAGGTATCGTCTTCGTTTTCTTATTGCAATCACAAGATATAGACCTATTTAAAATGTTGATCGTATCTCACGACGCGTTCCAAAACAAAATTGACATTTAGGACACGTTTCTAGTGTACATACCATTCGCGTACTATTTATTTTATTAAGAACTAGAGGTTCCGCAGTAGTCGAAATTCGACTATAATTAATTGGAATATAAGTTTTTACACTATTATGATTCTATTGTCAAGGACTATTATACTTCTTTAATCACAGATTTCGTCAAGGCTACACTTTAGACTAATATAAATAAAGAGAAAACAATATTTAATCTATTCTCAATTTGACAGACTATAACTGACAGACCGGCAAAGAAAAGTTTGACAATAAACAAAATTAAATAGTATGCATGCGTGTGTGTGTCAAATACATGGTAGTGTGTGTAATGTTTTCTTTACTGATTTAATGTATCTTTTATGCATTATTTAAAAAAAATACATATTAGCATTGTGCACTTCTTCTCTCTATTCTCTATAAGTGTGGAAAATTTCATACTCCCCCGTCCGCGCAATTTTCGTAAAAAGGGATACAAAGTTTTTGCTTCATGTATTAATATATAGATACATACATATTATAGAAAAAAAAGCGTATTAAAAAACTTTGCTTAAATGTACATGCTGATTTTTTGCATAACATTTCTGTAAAATGTGTTTTAGGATTTATGGTACAGTAAAAATATAGCTGTGATAAAACAAAATGTAGCTTATATAAAACTAGTTACTGTTATATTATATGTTACTAATAATACTCGTTACAATAAGAACAGAATTGCAGAAGCTATTAAATACATTTCCAAGTACTGCGACATAAATTGATACGCTTGTCGGACCACAATAGGGAAACCGAACAGCTTAATCTACTTGTCTATAAACTATTAGGCGTGTCTAAGTTCAGCCATTAACATCGCCACGAGAACGCCCCGCTGATTTACATTGAATGAAAATGTAATTTGTTTTGTCGCTCTAATGGGACGCGCAATTTCCTTATGCGCTGAAACTGACGAGAAGGATGTTGGCACGTACACTATCCATACTAGGCTTTGCTGTCGTGGCCGGCATCAAAATCCCTCATTGTATAATGCCTGTTTGTGAAATAAACCATGCCAATGCAAAAACTCGCCTCATTTTACTGGTGATAGGATCTACACCAGGTAGGACTACCGCCCTGCCTATTTTTTGCCGTGAAGCAGTAATGCATTGCGGTTTGAAGGGTGGAGCAGACGTTGTAACTATACTGAGACCTTAGAACTTATATCTCAAGGTGGGTGGCGCATTTGCGTTGGAAATGTCTATGGGCTCCGGTAACCACTAAACACTAGGTGGGATGTGAGCTCCTCCACCCATCTAAGCAATAAAAAATTAAATAAAAAATTGAATTCATTTAATCAAAACGGCCACGGAACGGAACGGAGCGAATTTATTGACTCTTAAAATATATACCAAACATAGGCACTGAAATATGTCATTCATTTTCATGTCGTTCATTTTGTGTTGTAAGTAGTTAAAAGAAGTGCAACGTTGAGTATTAATTTTTTTGCCAGCAAATTCCGATGTCTTGTATTTTTGCAAAGAAAATAATGAAGTCGCGAATTGGACCGCATTGTACGGCACTGGCGCTATTAAAATTTTTGCTTTTATTGAAAATGAAAATAATTATGTCTTTAGACACACTGCGAATAAACTATCGCCAACGATTCGTCACCGTTCTTTTACTAGACAAGATTTTAAAACGGATGCCTAGTTTTTTTTTTGCATAGAGGACCTTGTATAGAATGTAAAGTTTGTCATTGAACATAAAAAGAGGAACGCCTGACGAAAAAATTAGATTGAAATAGCTATGCACTATGCTTTAGCAAAAGCAGGAAGATACTTACGGTTATACGTCCCATAAGGCTTAATAAAATTATACTAAATGATAAAACATCCAAGATCATTAATATAAGTCGCAACGACAAGCCCGCGATTATTTACAATGTACTTTTACTCCTTAAGGCGATCCATAGGCTTTAATGATTACAAGCGCATGGCAGTTAAATGAATACACGCCAGGATAATCTGCATCACACTTTCTTAATATATTGACCAACTACGGACAACATTGGCCTCATATAAAATGTTATCTTTATTATTTGTAATCATAGTCATATAAACTGCATTTTATTTCTAACTGCTAACATGTATCGGTTTTAGTTGTATTAAACTTAACAAAAACAATGTTGTTACGAATTTGCGACCGAACTTTTGCTTGTTTTTCTCAATGAATACAAAACGTGAGAATGATGTTTTAAATTGCATCCAGGTACGAATCTGCACTTGACTGAGACCCTATCATGTAACGAGTTAGCATAGAGTCTACAAAAACCAGTATACATTTTAACGTCACATCATTAGAATAACGTTAGCGAGATATGCGCAACTCGCATGGCTGACGCCGTATAACTC